CGGTGGCTTAATTTTTCGCTCGGAGGCGAATTCGGGTACCAATTGGGCAGCCGCGGCTGCCTTTTTGGCGGGCGTTGCGGTGGGACGGTTAGATGGGGCGGCCTCGCATTCGGGGTCGCTGTCAGTTGCGGGGCGTTTTTTGCTCTTTTTTTTGCGCGACTTTACGACGGTGAAGCCGTCGGCGTTCGCGTTATCAGCGGGGGTCGTTTCGACCTCCATGTCCGAGCCGCCGTTCGATTGTGAGTCGGGAACGACATCGCGGAAGGGGGCCGAAATTGGTTGCGCGGAAGGCGCGTTGGGTTCGTTCGCGGCGGCGGAAGCCGACGCGACGGGCGTTACTAGTGTCGCAGAAGGCGACTCATTAGCTGGCGCAGAGGGCACCGGAGATGGCGGCGAGGCAACTGCCGGTGAAGCCGGGTTGTCGCTAGCGTATTCGACGACGCGGCGTTTCTCCGCGGCGAAGGCGAGAAAGCTGCGCCACATTTCGGAGCATCGTTCGCGAATGAATTCCTCTAAGAGGGAACCCATAACGGCGCTTGAACCTTTGGGGCTTGCGCCCCGCCGGCGTGTAGTTTCTAAATAGGCCTCCCCACCTTACGGCAGGGAGGTGTGTGCCTAAAACTAACAACTATTTCACCTGCGCTTTAGGTGCGCTAGGGTGGGTACCTAGCTGTCGCCTATCGCAACAAGCACACAGTTATTAAATAAAACAATGCCGCCTCTGAGGCGAGAAGTGTGTATAGAATTCTACTTACAGAACAGGAACCTGCCTACGAGCCCAACACTACACTAACACTAAACTGCAGCACTGCTTGCACAAAGATTTAATTTGCAACCGAAGTTGCGAGTAGCGTCTAATTCGGGTGGCATGAGCCCTCCGTCTTAGAGAGACGTCCGTTCCGTACGAGAGCACGAAGCGGAATGAAACTAAAGCAGCATATAGACTGATTCCTGTTTTTGAACTCTTATTTTGTGTTGCCTTATTCTATACAAGTGTATCATCTGGATATTGGCGTAGAATTATTCGATTGTAAAGATGTCATATTAAGATCAACAGTTGTTCAGTGGTTATAGAAACAGGGCCCCGGGCCCCCGATCCTGGGGGGCCCCAAACGACTTCATGTTCCCTTCCCTTGAACAAATCCTAGACAATTCGGAAAGACCGCCGGCGGCAGCTGGTTCCACAGAGTGGTTGTGCGAGGCAGGAAATGCCTTGAAAATCGCGCTGTTGTGGAACGCTGGACATCGAGGTGGTGTGGATGAAATTTTTGGTTTTGGCGCGATGTACGATGGTAAAATCCAGTCGCCGGGATCAATCGAAAAAATTCCTCGGAACACTCCCCGTGATGTAGAAGATGCAGAGTGACCCAACATCTCTACGCATAGCCAAAGGATCAAGCTGATCGGAAAGACCTTGATCGTCGATAACCCTAACTGCCCTACGTTGGATGCGGTCAAATGGAAGAAGCTGGTAACAGGGGGCTCCCGCCCAGAGGTGAGAGCAGTACTCCATGTGGGGCCGAATTTGCGCCTTATAAAGGTTTAGACGTTGAGCCGACGTGAAGTACTGTCTCGCCTTGCTGAGCACACCGAGCTTCTTTGAGGCCAATTTGGCCTTACTTTCCAATTGACCGCGGAACTGGACATTGCTCGAGATTTCGACGCCAAGTATTCCGATACTAGCTGTGACAGGGGAGTGTTCTCAAAATGAGGAGTCACGACAAATGGGGACTTTTTAGCGGTTAACGCGCAAACTTGTGTCTTATCGGGGTTGAATTGGACTAAATTTAGTCGACCCCAGTCTGAGACTTTTGTTAACAAAGTCTCGACTTCAGACACAAGTTTGTTCCGGCTCTCGTAGACGTTTTCCCGAGAAATGTTAGCACGGCCTGTGTACGAAACATCCACAGTGCTATCATCCGCATAGCAATGAACGCTGCTGATTTGCAACATATCATTGATATGCAGAAGAAACAAAGTGGGGGACAGTACGCAGCCTTGTGGAACACCAGCATTGACAAATTTAGGATCAGAGCATGCACCGTCGACGACGACTTTGATGCTCCGATCTGCCAAAAAGCTAGTGATCCAGTTGCATAACTTCCCGGGAAGCCCATAGGAAGGCAGCTTCGAAAGAAGTGCTTTGTGCCACACCCGATCAAAGGCTTTCGCTACGTCCAGACTGGCTGCAAGCGCCTCCCCCTTGCTCTCAACTGCTTCTGCCCATCTGTGTGTCAGGTAAACCAGAAGATCACCGGCTGAGCGACCTCGACGAAAGCCGTACTGGCGGTCGCTAATCAGCTGGTGCTCCTCTAGGTACCGCAGGAGCTGGCAGTTAATGATGGTCTCCATTATCTTGGAGAGCAAGGAGGTGATGGCTATAGGCCTGTAGTTGGACGGATCCGAGCTGTTGCCTTTCTTAGGGATCGGGTGCACTAAAGCGGCCTTCCAGGTTTTCGGGAATACGCCTAGAGTATAGGAGAGCCGGAAAAGACGCGTCGAAACCGGTGCCAACTCTGGAGCACATGTCTTTAACACGATCGGAGGGATGCCATCGGGCCCACTCGACTTATGAATGTCCAAGGAAAAGAGTGCTCTGCGAACTGCACTTTGCCGAAATTGAACCTCCGGCATCGTAGCATCGCAACGCGGGATTGTTGGTGGTAATTTTCCTCGGTCATCCAAAGTCGAGTTGGACGCGAAGAGAGAGCCCAGAAGATCGGCTTTCTCCTTCGCAGCATAGGCCAGCGAGTCATCCTCCGTGTGCAGGGGTGGAAAAGAAGGCTTACAGAAATTTCCCAAGACAGCTTTGGCGAGAGACCAAAACGCACGTGTTCCCGTTGGGAGACGCGCCAATCTCTCGCCAATTCTGCCAATGTGTTCCGATTTCGCCTTAGCAATAACACTTTTGAAGGACCTAGAGGCAGAGTTATACGTCTTTTTTAAAGCGCTGGTTTTTACATCACTAGACGACGAAGCGTCAGCCCAAGCCTGGTAGCATTCCCGCTTTCGGCGTAATGCCAACTTACAGGAGCGACCAAACCAAGGCTGCGACTTGCCACCAATGGGCACTGCAGAGAACGGAATAAAGAGTTCCATACCTTGAAGCACCACATCAGTCACTGAGTCAGCAACGACGTCTGGATCATCCGGCGAGAAGCAAATCTGCCCCCATGGGTAGGACGCAAAGAATGACCGCATCCCATCCCAATCTGCTGACCTATAATGCCATACGCGGCGGCGGCAGCCCGCAAAGTGAGGCCGCGTTAAGCGCGTTATTGGCACTGTGCTCCGGACAAGACAGTGGTCCGACGAGCCGAGGGGAGGATCGACGGAAACCAAGTATCCGTCCGGATGAGAGGTCAACAGAAGGTCCAACAGGGAAGGTGTATGATCCTCCACATCAGGGATTCGCGTTGGCGAGGTAACCAGTTGTGTCAGATCATATGTCAATGCGAAATCGTGAGCAGATCTCCCCGCGTGGTCGGTGGTACGAGATCTAAGCCACTCGGCGTGATGAGCGTTAAAGTCGCCAAGAATTACGATCTCCGCGGATGGGATCTGCTGCAACACGGAATCTGTAGCCATTTGTATGTGCTCAAAGAGTCGGTCAGTTTCGGCATTACCGCTATGGGACCTATACAGACACGCGTAGATTCGCGGATGGTCGTCGCAGTCTACGCGTAGCCAGAGTATGGATAGGTCCCGTCCTTCAAGAGCATCGAGGCGACGAGAGCATATATCCTCTCTGACGTACACGCACACCCCAGCCCGCGGCACAAAGGAATGTTCCAGTTTGTACCCCGGGTAGGAGAGGAATGAGGTGTCAGCTGGAGAAGATATCTGCGTCTCGGTAAGGAAGAGCAAGGCCGGCTTCGCCGTCTCAAGATGGAAGTGGACGGCGTTTAAGTTGGAATTTAGCCCCCTTATGTTGCAAAAGTCCACGGCATGCGAGGAAGAGGTGGTCTTATGTTGCCTGCTCCGTTTGCCCCGAACAGGTGTAGAGAGCGCAAAATTGCCCCCCCCAGAATACGAAGGGTAGCCTGGGCATTCACGCTCAGACGTTGTACGGCCTGCGCGTGGACGTCCAGAGAGGGATTCTCCACCGCGCTGTATGCTGGTGGTACCCTCCTGGGGTAGAAAATTTAAATTTCGCGCAGACATTATGGGGGAGGAATGGGGAGAGGGCGTCCGGGACTCTCACAGACCAAACGAAACGCGACAGCATAGCTGCCACTTGACGTCGGTTTCTAGTGAGAGAGTGGTTCTTCCCCGGGCGTGCCGGCCCAATTCGGCTGCTACCCGAAGGTGCGCAGCATGGCACTACCACTAGTTGGGTTGACTGACTGCACTGGTGGAATAATCTCTGTCACAAGATTATCCCACCAGCGGGCGATATTTTTTTACTTTTTTTTTTTCGATTCCAGATCATTGCTTTCTTTATCTTTTATTTTTTGTCGATTTGTTATTGTTATTTTAGATTCCAGATCATTGCTTTCTTTATCTTTTATTTTTTGTCGATTTGTTATTGTTATTTTTTTCCCTTTTTTTTATAAAGTTCTTTCTTTGTGAAAAACAACAGTTCATATTTTCTTATTATTACGTCGGTAAGATCGAAAAATATTAGGCATATTTCATTACTCAGTAATAAGGTATCTAAATGCAATTTCCAAAATACACGATTTACAAAAAAAAACAAACCGAGCAAAGCTCGGTCCTCCGGGTACTCTACCTTTAACAGGCCATTATTTTATATCTGGAAATTTCACGTCCATTTTACGTTTACATCTACATTAAGGTAATTTAATTAATTGTAAACAAATAAAAACATGATAACTTACTACATAATAATATAACATCATCAGCAGTTTTGTGTAATATGTTCTTTAATATATTTATAACAGTAAATAAAAATAATATTAATTATTTAATCATTAATGTTTAAAGGTAATACATTCAATTAACAAAGGTAATACAGACAATTAACCACATAATTTTTAATCTTGATGTTCCTTTTTCACTATGTCATTATTTTTGTATCCAAAGTATGGTTCATTAACAAATTTAGGAGGTCCCCCAAGCTGTACTGTTTCAGGCACATTTAACTCTTCATTTAACTTTTTAGCCAGGAAATATATTTCAGCCAGTGCAATAACCAAAGCACACATCACACCCAATAATAATCTAAATCCGAAATCTAGGTTCCCCACCATCCACTCTATTCCTCTAAAACCAAAGAGGAAACCAGCAAATATTGAAATGATGAACTGTCCAATAGCAATTAGTTGTCGATTCAATTGCTTCACTGAAAAAGAGATTTATGGTCAATGCTAACTCTATAGGTGTATTGCTTGATATTTACTTATTACATAGTTTTATTACAACATCAAACGAAAATGATATTTTTATATCTTTTGTTGGAACATGCTCTTTTTATGGTTCTGTACTTCAAAGATAAAACGGGAATCCCTATAAGATCACTCCTTTGTCCGTCTGCCTATCCCTGTCACCACCAATTTTCTCAAAAACGGGTGGACCTAAGAAGTTTAAATTTATACCAGATATTGAGGTCTATAGTCCCTACTACTTGTATAAAAATCAACGTCCTGAGTTAACACAAAAATGAGATATGGGCAAGTTTGGATTTTCGCGAAAACTTGAGTACCAAAATTTACAACTATTATTTTCAACTTTTTTTTACAGAGGCATATTATATTCCACATTACTAACAATTTATTGTTATCTATATAAAATCTCATATTATAAAACTTGAAAGTAGACAGGACATTTCATTATTTTATTTATGTAAAAACTGTAATGTTTGATTGCATAAACTTGACATCACTACGTAGTATAAAACTAAGTCTTCCCACCTGTCTGTCTGTCCATATGTATGCTTAGATCTTTAAAACTACGCAACAGATCTTGATACGATTTTTTTTATTAGAGTGATTCAAGAGGAAGGTTTAATGTAAAATGCACACGGGCAAAGCCGGGGCGGATTGTTAGTAAGCACTTTGGAATTAAAATTAGTGATGCAGCAGGAGTGACTTCACAGAAGCAAAAACATACACAAAAACTAAGTGGAAACAGAAATAGAGAGAGAGATGCAGAAATGGAGTTGCAAATACTATAAAAAATTCCTTCTTTTTATTGACTAATTTTTTTTCTGTTTCTTTTAAGTTTTATTAAAGGTATTTTGGCTGTTTCCAGAAAGCATCTCGGGATATTTTCATAAATTAAATACTAATCAAAGGCACCCATGCTCCACATCATCTAATACCTTTAAACAAGCAATTCTAGTATGTTCATGAAATTTAGTATGTGCGTAGTTTCGGGGGCGTAAAATCGATATCTAGCCAGGTTTCATTTTTAGAAAATGTCCTTTTATCCCTGTTTTCAGGGAATGAAAAATATCATTCGAATATGACAGTAAATTTCGCCGAAAAAAAAATGTTATAATAGCTCGGTCAGTAATCGGGCGGCCCCAAAACAGAAGGCTGCGGTTCGTGTCACGATCCTTTACGCACTTTTTGTTCTATACCAGATCATTGCTTTCTTGATTTTTATTTTTTTTAATTTCCTCAAATCGTTTACCAAAAAAAAAACGAGCATAGCTTGGTTCTCCAGGTTCTTATTGTATTAATTTATATATCTCTTTGTAATTGAGAGTCAAATTGAAGCTTCCTCTTAAATCTAAATGAGGTTATAATTTACCATTTAACTTAGACACTGGACATCTGCTACAAACATTAGCTGTCACTGAATTATTAATTTTTATTTGCCAAAATTACTTACTCTGATAGCTAATACTATCCTCAGGAAATCTCATTCTCACATTATCAACACTCTTTGTCATTTTTCTATATTCCCTAGCTTCTTGTTGTGCTCTTAATTTTACACACCTAGCTTCCAAAATAGGATTCCTTTTTATGATTTCATTTTCTGGTAACTCAACTTGGGATCCTTCAAAGAGAACATGCAAATATGGAACCTCCCTTTCACCTTCTACTCTTTTTTTAGTGATGTAAACATATAACCAATCTATATCATCAGTGGTAAGGTAGGAATTATCCTTAAGGTTTCCAATATTTGAAATTTGATTCCCTGTTTTATTATGCTTTTCTTTGTCTGAACTTTGCTCTATATTATCACCCTCTTTAAGCTTTTCCCAATTTGATAGTTCAGTACTATCACATATTATGTTGGAAAGTTCAATTTTTGATTTTATTTTTTTGAGGTTCTCCAAATCATTACTGCTATAACCAACTTTTTTTCTTTCTATAGATATTGCCTGTGTTTTGTTTATGGACTTGGCACCTTTTACAAATTTTAATATATTAGAAGGTACATCATCAGAGATCTGTATAGAATTAATATAGTTTTCTAGTTCTTTAGATGGATATATCCTAATTTTGTTATCAATAAGTGAGCCTCTGAGGTCCATGATCAGTTATCAGTAATATTTAATTTATGTTTTAAATCTGCATATAAATCTCTAAGTTCTTCCTCTTTTTCTTCAAATGTATTGTCAATTCTTTGACACTTAAAATTCATGTCATCAATGAATTGATCCCATTCTTTTTGTCTTTTCTCCTGATTTTCAGTTTGCTTTTGCTTACACACCTGATAAATATTAAAAATATTAACTTTATGTGATTACTTACATAATATGAAAAGTTTACTTCATGGAATGATTACATTTAAACTACCTTTTTTATCTCTGAATATTCTTTTTCAATTTCTTCACAAAGCTGTAGACTTTGTTCCAACTTTTCACTTAAAATTGGCAGTGTGGTTTTACCATTTTTGCATATTTTTTCAACTTGAGTATCTTTAATGTCAGTTAGATTTTCTAATATGGAAAATAAATTTTCTACCTCACGATCACCTCGTTTTTCCTGAAGATAATAAATGCTATTCAATAATTCTAATTTGAAAACAATATTGGTTTAATTTAAGATATATAAGAAATATTCCTTCTGCAGGTTATTTTTATGAATATACCTACAGTTACATAATTGAAAAAAAGTTTGAAACTATAACTTTGTTAACTAAAGTAAATTAAATTAGTTATGTTTAATTTATTATTCTTAATGAATAATAGGGAAAATAAAACGAAATGACATTCCACACCCAAATGTTTACCAGATAAGGTAAAAAGTAATCACTATATTTTGCCATTTTAATATGCCTATAATGGTTTAACTTACCTCGAACTCTTTTAACATAAACTTGATTTCCCCATTTAAAAATGGACGATGGTCAAATAAACGCGACCAAATTTCTCCAATTTCTGTTTATAAAAAGGGTGTATATAATTTTATTAGAGACACAAAGAATAGTGACAAATGCAGTACATTGATATCTATTGAACTTACAAGGATAAATGAACTTGTGTTGAAAAAAATTTATGTAAAAATCAAATGAAATAAGTTATGGGTAAATTTGTGAAGAACAACACGTTTAGAAAATTCTCCAGACAAAAAATCGTTGTGTTAAAATTTCCTCCACTTTTAGGAAGATATTTGAATAAACATAAATAATAGAGGACCGATACCCACCTCGTGACAGCTCCGACATCATCGTTTATATGCACAGATTCTAATTAAAGAATAGATTTAAATAAGATAGCCCTATTTTGCAAATATTCAAAGCAAAATGGACAGAAAAAATACTTCAGAAAAATATATTTCAAACAGTTTTTATTACTTAAAATGTTAGAAATAAGGAATATATGTATTATTTATAAATTACTATAAAGTTTTATATTAATCGTTTTTTTTTGTTAATGTTATCAAACGTGTCTGTCTATAATTTTAAATTGAATGACACGTTATTATCATGTCTGCATCGATAAACCATTTTGAATTGACACTAAGTACCACTGCTTCACCGAAGACCTGGCGTGAAGTGAAAGTAGTAGTGAGATGACCGCGGCCCGGTTTTTAAACCTATGTCAACGCATCTACAAGCCTTACGGAAAAAAAATATCTCTTATCCTTTAAACGAGCAATTCTTGTATATATATATATAATCGAAAAATCGATCTAGCTAGGTTTCATTTTTAGAAAATGTCGTTTTATCCCTGTTTTCAGGGAATGAAAAATATCATTCGAATATGACGGTAAATTTCGCCGCAAAAAATATGTTATAATAGCTCGGTCGGTAATCGGACGGCCCGAAAACAGAAGGCCGCGGTTGGTATCACGATCGTTTACACACTTATTTTTTTTACTTTTTTTTCTATACCAGATCATTTTCTTTATTTTTTATTTCCAAAATTAATGATTTACCAAAAAAAATTATTGGTCCTCCAGGTACTACAATTTATTTAACCAACATTTAGAACATTAAATCTATCTAAAATTACATATTATCTAATAAACCTATCACGCGGCATGGTGTCAATAACGCAAGCTACATTTGCTCGCTGAATAGTTATGCTTAACCTTTGAGCGAGAAAGCCAGCCAAAGTGTCTACACAAGTAGCATCCGAAACAAGGGCAATGCCTCTCTCCCAGGGATTAAAGTCAAGTCAGGTCTCTTACCATCGTCGCAGAAAATGCCACAGGGCTCTAGAATAGATGGAAACAAGAGCCGGATAGTACGGGTGATGTCGTTCAGAAAACCGTGGCGGAAAAAGCGGCTAGCACTTTTTTGAAAAGAAAGTCCGTGGAGGCCAAATATGACTACATTGACACCACAAGGGCATTGGTGTGGTTGACAAATCATAGCCCCAGGACTGACACCTACAGCAATGCGTAAGCTTTCATTGTCATCTAGTATGCCCCAGTTATTATTATTATATGCTTTTTTGAACACCATAAACAAAAAAGATATGTTACAAAAATAACTTACGAGGTAGTAACAATAAGGCGGTCTTATCGCAAAGCGATCTCTCCCAGACAACCTTGTGGCTAAAAGTAAAATATTTTGGACAACGGTAGGTGGTGCAAATGATAAACTTACATACTAAGATCTAAATAAACTAAACGAATAAGTTACTTGATAAAGCGTATGACTTGTAAGCAATAACTTGGTGAAACCAATTACTCGATTATTTATATGAGACGCCTAAGAAAGGGACACGTTCTAAATTACTATCTAAATATTAAAACATATCTTTATTTACTCTCTGCAATAAAGGAACATCCCATTGTTTCTGTAGGTTAACTTCAATGAATATTTTCATTGGAGCAGATAGCCATAGAAGACATCCTTGCCTCCTCGGCATAATAAAGTTCCGAATTGTGATTTAGGATATTATTATATAAATTATTAACGCCATGCACGAAAGCAAATAAGGCAGGTAGAGCGACACTAGAAATTTTCCTTACACCAACACCAACAAAATGAATTAGTAACGTAGCTTGAGTCCAGCTTAATTCATTTCATTCAGAATTTTTTCTAGATCTCATTTAAAATGAAAATTTATTTCGTTCTAAAAGTCACCGCTATTTCAAACTCGACCCGAGCGAAGGAGTTACGTAAAAGGTACAAAAATACAATGTTGCAAAATATGCGAATATATTAAAAACAATTTGTTAACATGATTTAAAAACTTTAGTTTTAAAAGAGGTCCCAAATTTGGTATTAACTAAGGAGCACCTTAGAGGTAAAGTGAATGTGTACGGACTACATTAATTCTTAGTATGATAAAGCTAAAATTTGGGGTCAAAATATTTTTCTCGGAAAACGAAATCTTTTCGGAAAAGAAAAGTTCACATTTGGATTTCAGATCACTTGTATTTAAAAAGGTTTGAATGGAATTTTCAGTCCCTTCACAGCCGCCATTGCGCGCCTATTCATCTAGGTTTTGGAAAATAATTTTGTTTTACATGCTAATTTTGAAGTTAAGCGTCGAAAGGTAGAATCGATAGCAATAGGACGGATACCATTATCTTTTCTCTTAAAGGCACATAATTTTAATATATATAATAATAATAATAATTTTGCCTTATATAAAATGGAACAAATTTAGAATTTACCTTTCCGGAAAGCATTAATTTGCATAATTTTGTAATATCACTAAGAAGGTTCTGCCAGCATCACCGGCGGAAGTGCTTACAAGATCTTTCAGATATTATGGCGTCCATCAATGTCGCCAGCGGTGGCAAAATGCATTATTGAAAATGAAATAATTGCCTCGAAAGTGTCTTTATCGATAATCTGCAATGTGTGATAAGAAGAATCGGGAGGCACCGTTAAAAATGGTGAAAGATTGATCGATGGACGCTGCCAGCATTAAGGTGTTGCAGATGTTCTTGGGTGGCACTTAATTAGATAAACTGCCTTCTCGCTTGACAAGTTTTCACAAAAAATATATATTTTTTTTTAATAGATTAACATATGTATTTAATTATTAAAATGAAATTAATTTATTAAGGGATTGTCCTAATAAATTCATTTTTACATTTAATTTAATCAAGGCTAGCAACGACTCTAATCATTCATTCTTTGAACAGTCACAATTTTGTTCTTGTCATGCCATACACTGACACACTATTTAATCTGTCAGTCAGTAGTTAGTTCATTCATGGCTTTTGGTTTGGTTGCTGGTTGTTTGAGCCAAAATCCTGCCTCCGAAATTGTTTTTAATTGCGATAAGTGGTTTCTCTATAACAATGCCTTCGGTTTGTCTCATTAAGTTGTTTCCCAAATTTAGTGGATAAAAATCGTGCATGAATGTGATAACTAAAACTTTGCGTTGTGTTGCTTTGTGTGATTGTGATCATCATGCCGGGTCTTATTGGCATTGGTGAATTTATTGAGGAAACCCGAGAAGATTACAGTTCACCAACCACTTCAACATTCGTGTCGCGTATGCCACAATGTCGCCAAACAATAAATGCATTAGAAGAAGTAAGTTATTGTTTTAACTATTTTCGAATTTTGTGTGGTAGTTGTTTACTTTAATAAAATGTTTTGCATCTCCTCTTCGAATCAAATGGATCTTTTATTTGGCACTTGTTGTTAAGGGTATTTGCTTTTTATATTAAAAAATACAAGATAATAAGTTATATCTTGAAATAGTAATATTAAGTTTGTAAATCATTAGGAATTTTGAATCATTCAATAATAAAATCCTTAAAGAACTAAGGCATACATAAAAATTGAAAATAATTATATACATTACACATCTCATTAAATAATTAGCATTAGTACTTATGTAAATTATTCAAGAATGGGCAATTGTTTTCAGATTCTTTTTGTATCTTTCATATACAACTACTTGAAATTAGAATAGGAAAATATGCACTCTTAAATGTTTAAATTAAATTGATATGAGTATTTGTTTGGCCATCTTATTCTTAAATTTTATGGTTAGTCTATTTTTTTCCATATTTTGTTCAGTTTTGATGTTTAAATAATTCCTTTATTTCACTTTGAACCCAAATTCACCCAACTGCTTTAAGATATCATTACATATATTAAAGAAATAGCTGTGCCCGCCACTTCGTCCATGTGGAATTTTAAATAAAAAAAAATCTAAAATAAAAGTAGCCTAAAATAAGATTACTCCTTATTACATTAGCTATCTGTCAGTGAAAGTCCCATGCAAATCGGTCCAGTCGTTTCAACTATTAGCCGGAACAAACAGACAGACACACAGAAAAAAATTGTAAAAAAAAGTATTTTGGTATATGTACCATGTATACAGCCATATGGATTTAGTAAAAAGCGGTTTTTTAATATTACAAACAGGCACTCCAATTTTATTTATGTATATAGATTTAAGAATGAAATTACATCAGGAGAAATAATACCACTTCATTCTAGCATTTTGTGTTCTTGTTTACCACTTCGTACTTAACTATTCATGCAAACAGGCTGTCCAGACATACATCGCTTGTATTCTATTTTTAAAAGCTTGTCTGACAAGTATGATAAGCTTACATGTGAGAACAGCTATATCCTTACTAATATTATAAATCCTTACTATAATATTATAAATGTGGAAGTTTGTATGTATGGATGTGGATGTTTGTTACTCTTTCACGCAAAAACTGCTGAATAGATTTTAATGAAACTACAATAATATAGATTATACATCAGAAAGAGCCGTGATAGCTCAGTGTCCGGGCGCTCGCCTTTAATTCAATATACTCGAGCAACCTGAGTTCGATCCCCGGTGCCGGCACCAATGAAGTTTTTAATTTTAAGTGCTGACTTATCACGGGCTCCGCGGTGAAGGAAAACATCGTGAGGAAACCTGCATATTTTCGAAATAATAACAAAAAAAATATATTTCGAAGATATGTGAAGTCCGCCAACCCGCAGTGGGGCCGCGTGGTGGACTATGCCCTGATACCCTCTCTAAAGAGGAGGCCTTTGCCCAGCAGTGGGACATGTATAGGCTGTTACTTTACTTTACTTTATACATCAGAATAACACATGCTATAATTCAAAAAGATATTGTGTAAATTATCTAAAATATGCGTAATGATAAGTGTCAACTAAGCAGGAAAAGATTCAGCAGCCATGCGGGCAAAGCAAAAAATTGACAACATGTTTTAAAATATTTGCATTTTGAATGTGGTGCTTACATGCAGATTAAGATCAAGGATTATTTTCGGATATATCGGCAACGTCGAGCGATAATCTTAAGAAAGTTCTATTCACGGGATCGGTTGAAATAGCTGTAGACGACGGAAGTGGAAATGGTATGCATTAGTCGGGCCAAACTTTAATCTTTTGACTTTATAATAGAAACAACACTCAGCGACCCTGTCTATATGGCAGTGGATACAGCCAGATGGCGGGCGCACTATAGTTCTCGACAGAGATTACGAAATAGATCACGGGATGTCGGTTATCGGAATATTCTTTATCTTGTCCCAAGGAGGGCAAAACTTCATTTCTTTCTTACTTTCTATACAATAATTATTGTGGGACTCAACAGCTTTAGCTTTTTCACACACGGGCTGCTCTGTCCGGATAGGTACCGCGGCCTCACACAAACACCTGCAACATGTTAAATTATCATTTATTTATGCAATTCGTTTGGTGTAAAGTTAAAGGCGGCTCAGTCTTTTAAGGCCCATTTACACGATGCCATTTTCTTGAACATACAAGAGCAATAATTGAATGCAATAAATTGCGCGCAATAATTGTTTAGACCATTTCTTGTTTAGACCATGCAACTCATTTATTGCTTCAATTTAATTGTATACAACAGGCAAGAAACTGGCACCATGTAAATGGGCCTTTAGAGCCGCTATAGCTTGTCCGGGCGCTCTCTTTTAATTTAATATACTTGAGCAACCTGAGTTCGACCCCCGGTGCCAAAAAGGGGCAAACGATCATGAGCTCACATTATAGTAAGTGATCACCGACGCCCATGAATGGAAACACCGCCGGCGGCAGATGGTTCCACAGGGTGCTTGTGCAACACGGAAAATGCCAGGAAATTGTTAATTTTATGTACTGACTTACTACGTGCCCTGCGATGAAGGCAAATATCGTAAGGATACCTGCATATTTTCGAAATAATAGCAAAAAGAATATTACGATCAACCTAATGACTGACTTGAGTTTTTATATAACGCCGCAAAGAATCATTAAAATACATTGATTTTTTTAAATTGTACCATTTTTAAATTAGCTAAAATTTAAATTTGTTATTCAAATTTTGAATATTTTCATTTTAATTCACCTCACAGTATATTTAATTCTTCTAAAACCAAGTTCATCGCAGTTACAAAGGCTAAAAAAAGCATCTCAAATATTTTGAAAACTGTCGATTTATTTTAAACCGGTAACGATTCCGCTTCCCTGACCATACTCCGCTTGTTCTTGCGGTCAACAACACGAGTGAGTCATCACATCATTGTGAATACGGTCATTTATATCAGCGACAAAGGGTCTGTTTAAGCCACGTTGATTGGACATGCTTCAAGTGGAAAAATGTCTAAAGTATCTTGCACCGCACACACTGGCTGCTTATTAACAAAAACGTGTAACGTAGTAAGTGCTTTTGGGTGTGTTTTACGATGTGGGAATTGAATCCAGGACCTCCGACGGCGAAGCCAATAGCTTGGCAAATGCGCCACCGAGGCATGCATTAATAATTATAATGGCTCTAAACTATTTGAAATTAGTACTAATAATTATTATTTTGCCTCTAAACTTGTTGGAAATTGACATTTATTAATAATCATGCGCAGTTTATTGATTGGTAATGAAGTTGAAAACTGAATGGATACGAGGAAGTATCTCCTTTCACTGGTTTATTTAGGGTGACGTGCTTAAGTGGGCAAGAAATTATCAAGGGTCGAAGTGTACTGTAATATTTTTCTACGATGCACTTTTTTAGACCGAAGTCCCTTAACACGTGCACTTATACGTTTAATGAAAAGAACATTTTGTACTTTAACAGTGCGGAACTACTGTTGTCGTCAACTTGCAACATGAAGTCGAAAGAGCCCCATGACCCTTTATAATTCCAGTCCAGCCATTATAGTCGTATAATTAATTTAATATTATTCTATTTAAGAATAAGACGTGACGTATGTATGACGTATTTTAATTATTATTAGATATTATTCCCCGTAGTTAATTTCAGACATCGTTCTCAACAGTGCTCCGTACCAATAAGTAGTTCAGTATTCCATTCGTGATATATTTATTAATTATCACAAGCTTTAAACAAGAAAATCGTGTTTGCGATGCAAAGCGAAAGTATTCATGATTACAACTTTTACTCAACTTGTCTATACTTATCGTGGCCTACGTGTTTTTAAATTAACTTTCTCTTTTTAATTACGGAGGTTTGAGGATGTGCAATATGATTGAGTTGTCTTTATTTAGGTCTCTTTTATTAATAAGAACAAACAAAAATAAAGCACTATGCTTTGGTTTTGTCCCAACAGATTGCAAGTGATTATGCATGAATGAATTGCAGTATTTATTCACTTTTGCTTGGGATACGTAAAGTTTTTTATATCAATAAAATTGGCATGACACTAATTCTTACTTTAAAAAGCTTCTCCAAATAAACTAAAGCTATTTTTAACATATATGAAAGAATATGTATATACAATGTAAATGATGGATGGATATTAAATAACCACTAGTTAAAGCCCTATGTATAACCTAGGTTATTAGCATACTTAGGAGTTGAGGAGTATAAAAACTGCATACTATTGACTTAAAAGTTACACTTCCTATTACCGGATAATCCCCTTCTTTTTTCACTCAAATAATGCTATTTATTGTGTTAGCTTGTTGCAACTACGCTGTACTCCAAACTATTTCTCGAATCCGTGACCCACGTCGTCTAATACGAAATTGCGTTGAGACCAATTAAATAACTACTAGCATAATATTAATAATTTCGAGATAAAATAAAAAAATAACAGAACAGAAATCTATAAATATCGTAGTCTGTAATATTGACAAGGCTGTGTGTGGCCGCTTTACAACAATGAGTAAATTACCATTGAAATATTTTAGAAAGTTTCTAAAAAAGGTATCGGCATATATTTAGGTCGCCATTATGCATTAATACGAACACGAATCATACACACACTTTCGTAAACAAATAAACCAAAGGGACGAAATTGGGGAGTATTCATTATAACATTAACATTTATTTTATAAACTTTACAGTATTTATAGTTGATATTCGGTAGATAAGTTCTTTGTGAGTTGTATTTCCAAAACTTTTATTAAAAGTTTAATAGATTTTGTGCCTCGGCAACGTTTATGTTATAACATTTATATTGCATCTAAAACACTTCAACGACTTTAGAATCCGAAGTGCAGTATTTTTGGTTAGGGCATAGTAGAAAACCAAGATAGTTAAGCAGCGACGGTGTGACCACACTTATAAAAAACGTAAACAGCATCAGCTGGCATGG